CTTGGCAGATTTCTTACTAGGCAGAAAATGCACAAAATTAGGTTGCTTTCCTGAATTACAGTTTTTTTCATTTATTGCTAGTATGACGGTAGCACTTAGCAGCTCCAGCTGAGATCAAGGCTCCATATATACAAGATAAGGAGGAGCAGCCCTGTTCCTGATTATCTTAATGTTGGAATAAACAAGTGGAAGGAAGGGGAGAGGAGGAATCACTATCCTCGGTTCACAGACGGTTCCTGGGTTTCTGTGAGCTCCATGGGGGGCTGAGCAGCTTCAGAAATCCAGAGCTAACGTTTGCCCAGGGTCACACAGGAAAAGGGGCTGAGTCGCAGGCCTTAACCTGTGTGTGCCCATGGTTAGCTGGAACGTGCTAGATCCCAACCCCACCACACAGACCTGCTTCTTAAGCCTCATCCACCATAAAGGGATCCGACTGATCAAACTACCCTGGAATTATTTTGGTGCAGCAGTCCTATTTTGTCTCCTCTGTATGGACATACTCGTCCAGAGCAAGAGTAGAAACGCAGCCCCGCTTTGCAGGCGGGAGGATTGATCACAAACATGTGTTTTAGGTATTTATTTTTTCCCTGGAGCTTTGCAGGTCCCGTTCCCTGTCCCGTCTTGTGCCAGGCTCTTTCCCGGCAGGAAGGAGCGTTGCCCTGCGTGGGGCTGTGCTCATGCAGCCCGTCCTGGAGAGCAGCTCCCAGGTTTGTGTTTATGGGCAGGACTAACCTGCTGGCGCAGGGGCACCCAGCCTGTCCCCTTCCACCTGCCTTCGTCCCTGCAGCACTGCAGGAATGGGCTGTGCAGGGTGGCAGCACTCCCTTTTGGCCATTTTCTTCCACTAAAAACACTTTATCAAAGCCTTAAGCAAGTAAGTTCTTCATCCTGAACCCATCATTTCTTTTCAGACCTTCTCTCGCTCTTGCCAGCACACACGGCAGCTCCGGGGAGCGCTGCCTTTCCCGGTATTTCCCCACGTGTAGGTTGATCTAATCCAAAGCTAAGCCCCGGCGTGAGGCCTTGCTAGCCAGGAGCAGCCTCTCTTCCTGCAGGTGTCCTGCGCCTCCGTCTCCATTAAGCAAACAAAGATGCATCTCGTGTCCCAGCTTAAACACACTCTTGATCATGGTATTTGTGGGCTGGTGCTCTCGGGGCCTTAAGGCTCTCTGGAAGACAGAGGCACCGCTCTCTTTCTGACAGCTGCCCAGAGGGATAACTTTGCATGTCCCTCATTTGCTAAACAAAACAGCCCAAAGACCAGGATTTTCTTTCCTCTACAATAAAGGAATGAAGGTGTGAAGAGGACTAGGGAAATACAAGGTTTAGGGAGGGCTCAGAGAGAGGCAAAAACAATCAGCTCTTTCTTCAGTCACAGAGATGAGTTGAGATTTTGCTTTTTGTTATCTGTTTCCTTGATTGGCCGGAATGTTTTCGATGCACGGGGAGATGGTGGGAAAGGGGTTGTCTTCAGAGCAGGCAGAACTGGGAGGATTTGTGTGTTTGGAGAGCAAGGGCAGGGCTGTGTGTTTGGGCCGGGGACACCACTGAGGCCAGAGCCAAGGAAGATGCAAGTTGGGAGCCTCCCTCTGTGTCTGGAGGTCTCCTTGCAAAAAGAAAATAATAATAGTGATGTGGAGCGAAGGCCAAGCTGGGCTCTCTCCAGCCTCATCCTCAGAAGACGGCTCTGCCCTATGGATAATGCACAAACAAGGAGTGAGGGGCCATGGCGAGGTTTCCTCTAGGCTGCTGACATGCATGTACTGCAATCCCCTTGGCTGTTATACCCGAGAGGTGCCAGGAGAGGCCACGAGCAAATGTGGTATCTGGATCCAGCTGAAAAAGGCATCAGGTTTTCTGGACAGAAGCAGCTTAGGAAGTGACGGGACTCGGGGAGAGAGGAGGCCGGCGGCGTTGCCGGTGCTCCGAGTGCGGCACCTTGTTCCGCTTAGGGGAAGAAACTGCAATGCCCAGTGCACAGCCGGGTGAATCCCCTCTCCTTTCTCCCTTCTCCATCACCCTGTAGCTTTTCTCTTCAGAGCTTTTCCTAACTGGCCTCCTTCCACGGCGCTGTGCCTGCAGATAGGACATGGAGCCGGCGGGAGCGGGGCAGCCCGGCCCCCTGCACGGCCCGGGCCCATCCGTGTCCCCAGCCTGGCTCAGCACCGCTCCTGTCATCACCTCCTTTACTCACTGTCCTCCTTTACTCACTGCGTGTCCTGCTAAATCCTGGCACCAACGGGGGATGCGCGCGGGGCTCCTCGCGAGGGTCGGGGTGAGTGGTGACAGCAGCCCCCTGCCCTGCTTGCCCGCGGACTGGGGCAATAATGACCGGTCTGGGCTGCTCTGCGCCTGGTGCCAGGGGAGCAGGGCCTCAGGGAGGCCCCATTCCCGGCCATGACTCCCCCGTCTCGTGGAAATCAAAAGATAGCAATGGAAATCTAGTGGATACAGTAGCCCTTGTTGAGCAGGCTCAGCTGTCTCATTTGTTTTTATGGGTGACTTTTACAAGCACCCGCGGTGCTGCTCAGCGTGTGCCAGCAGTTCCCTCAGGAACAACCGGAGTTGGGAGCCTCAAATGAGAGGCAGAAGCACCTGGAGTCCCCAGGACACGGATGGGAGGTGGCTGCCGGCGCCTCTGTGTGTTTTGGGGCTGGAGGGCATTAGCTCCTGAGCAGTTCAGATGCTGACACGCTCTTTAAATATCTCCGTTTGCAGATTTTTGGAGGGCAAGGGAAATAATAAGCACAGTTTGAATTTTTGGCAGCAGTTTTAATAAGCTGAAATGCCTTTACCTTGATTAAGACCTTGTGTATGTGGGATCGTGTGTGCCCGTGGTGGCACAGTCAGAACTCGGGACCAGTTTTTCAAGCCCAGCCCTTCCCAAGGTTTTGCACCTTCCTTGGAGTCCTTATCCTGACCAGGTTCTGGCATGACCCAGTGCAGGGCAGCACAGTTTTAACACGGGCATTTCAGTAGCACCATCCCCTGGGCACAGAGCCCCAGGGCTGTAGCTGCCCCGCGCTCTCCTGCTCTGCCTGAACGGGCTCTTCTGCCTGCTCAGGGCTCTGTCCCTGCAGATGTGTCCCCTGATCCCAGCCATTGAGCACAGGCTGTTTTGGAGCTGGCAGGCTCCTGTGTCCAACCTTTTCTTGTCACCCCACCTCCTTTTTTCACTTCCAAGCTCCTGACCGAACCCTGTTCTGCGTGTGACTTTCCAGCCTGATTTTCCCTTGAGCTCGTCCCAGCTGCACAGGAAGCCCCCGTGTGAGGCACTGCTGTCCCCTTCCCGTCTCCTTCTCCTCCTTCCCACTGCCAGCATCTCCAGAGCTCAGGACGAGCCTGTCTTCAAATGGGTGTTTGTAACGTGCAACGCTCTGTGTTAGCCCAGTTACTGAGAGGAAACAGATTTACCAGATAACTCCCAGCAGGCCTGTACATGTTTCCATTGCCTGGTATATTGCAATAAAAATATACATTAAAAATAAGTATAAATACATATTTACAGTGTACAAGGAAAAGCCAGGAGTACAGATGCTGTTTTGAGTTTCCAGAATGCATATTAATGACTAACAGCTGAGGTACAGGATAAAACAGGGGCAAATCCATCTAGCTCTCAATCTGCAGGCAGGAGAATGGCTTTGGTGTAACTGAGGACAGGATCAGGCTTCTTTCCTCCTGGCAATAAGGGAATTCTCTACTTGTACCGCATCCTTGTCGCCTTTGAGGACAGCCCTCCTTGAGTGTTCGGAGTGAAACCGCTGGTGCTGCCGCCTGTTCTCTGGGCCAGTTCCTGCTGCTGTCCCGGTCCGATGCCGAGTGTTCAGGCTGGAGATATGGAGCAGTCTGTGCAGCGCTACAACGCTCTGCTCGCCTGAAAGCACCCGTGTTTTCATGCTGTAATAACCCTTTGCCCTTCCCCTGTAGAAGGTTGAGGACTCTACAGCCCTGAATGAATGACCCTGCGTCACCAGGTGTTGAGGGAAATAAAAGCCCAGAGCAGCACAGTGACTTCCCAGAGGCCACGCAGTAAGAACACAGCAGAGCTGAGAGGGAAACAGCTCATTATCTGTTGCAGCCCCTTCCTTCGGCCTCCAGACGGGGGGAAGGCGGCAGCAGCGCCGCTCGGTTTGCCCGGTGCTCACAGAGTGCCCGGGCGGGCTGGGCAGAGCTGTGGCCCTAGACATCACTGTGCAAGGGCTGTCCCTGCCCGTGCGGGGACACGATTCCCTGCTGTGTCCAGAACGTGCTGGGATATCCTGGGACACCCCACGCTGCTTCCAGAGCAGCCCCCTCACTCAGTGGTGCTGGGACACAGGACTTACCAGCTAACACTGCTAACTCGGAGATTTCCACGATAGTTTGTGGGTGAAGAATGTGTTCAGAGACCTCTGTTAGCAGCTAGGGCAGCATCTAAGAGTGTGGCTTTTTGGTTTGTTTTTGTTCTTTCACTATTTTCCTCCTACTTCAAGCTACATTTACAACATAGTTAATTTGTCACCTGACCACAGCACATGATCTGTTGGAAAAACTATGAGTTTAGGTGTCTATTGCCAGAATTTGAGCTCTGGGCAAGTCTCTGCAGAAGCCTTCTCCAGGCTGAACCCGGCTCGCTGGACGCGGTCTGTTTGTGAGCTCTGGCCTTATCTGCCCTTCCATCAAAGCAAACAGGGTTAAGGCACCAGCTTGGCACGGACTGTCGGTGCCCTGAGTCCAGGAATTCCCACCTCATTCCTGGCCAGGCTGATGAACTGAACCCTGCACATGGTATAAATCCAGAGTAATAGTGACCTTGGAGCAATTCCCCTGGATTTGCCCTTGAGCAGGTGAGGTCAGCTCTAGCCCAGGACCTTCTGCCATTACAAAGAGCTGCCCCTAGTTCCTTGGTTACAGCCTGGGATGCGCAAGGCCTGGACACCAAAGCCAACAAAGTGGCTCTGTCAGTCCCCAGGGGTGTGTAGCAATGTGGCCTCAGCAGCCCCGTGCCAGCCTCGTGTCCTTCACTTGAGGTTGTGCTGGGTCTCGCGGTGCCGGCGCAGATCCACCTTGCGCTGGAAGCCCTTGGCGCAGAGCTCGCAGCTGAAGGGCTTGAAGCCGGTGTGTTTGCGGCTGTGCGTGATGAGGTTGGAGCTCTGGCTGAAGGCCTTGCCGCACACCTGGCATTTGTGGGGCTTCTCTCCTGCAGGGCAGAGCAAACAGCAAGATACATCTTAGCACACCAGAGAAGAGAGGCAGAAATGCCCTTCCACGGGCAGCTGCACTGGGCAGCACAGTTATACATGGGCACTAATGCCCAGCCCAGCATCTCCGCATGCAGGAATTGTGTGTGTGCGTCAACATGATGCACTGGGATTTGCTTTTGCTTATTGCGGACGCTTTGTCTCTCACCAGTGTGGATGTAGGTGTGTTTCTTCATGTCTGACTTCTGGTGGAAGCGCTTGCCACAGTACTGGCAGGGATAGGGCCGTGTGTCCGAATGGATCAGGAGGTGAGTAGACAGCGTAGAGGAGCGTTTGAATGTCTTCCCGCACATCTTGCACTCAAAGCTTCTCTCCTGTTCGGGAAAGAAAATTGTGGGATGTGTGACAGAGCCCCAGAAGTGTAAAAGCATTGAGAATAGCAGGCTTGAGAAGCAAATCTACTCTGCTCATGGGCTGGTGTGCTAAGGACAGTACAAAGAGGATGAAAGAAGTGTTACTTGTGGCTTACACGTTGTGGTCCAGACTCCAGCACCTTGTAGAAGGTGAGGCACAGAAGAACCAGTAGGAAAAATCCTCCCCAACCCATCCAAGAAATTCTCAGGGACCATCTGAGTTTTTTGACCAGAGATCTATGGTCTTCAGAGTTCCTATCGCTCTCTTTGGGTGATGCAGGAAAGCCACCACGTTTGTCATTGCAGAGCTGCTGCTTCTCTTACAAAGCAGTGAGTAACAGGCAAGGTCCGAGCGCTGGGGAGCCCCGGAGAGCCGGTTCCCGGCGGGAGGCTGCGCACCTGGGAGTGGATGTTGGTGTGCTGCTCCAGGCTCACCGCGTGCCCAAAGGTCTTGCCGCAGACCTCGCAAGCGAAGGGCCGGCTCCCGCTGTGCGACCTTCGCACGTGGACCTCCAGTCCATGCGGAGTGGAGAATACCTGGAAAAAAGAGTAACTTGCCGGTGATTTTCCATGGGGCAGCTGTGTCTCCATCCTTGTTTCAGCAGGTACCCGTTTGCAGCCATGTGCTTGGCGACCCAGCGATCCCCGTACGTACGTGACGGAGGTCAGCACGAGGGCTCCGCGCGGCGACGCACCTTGTTGCACTTGACGCAGTGGTAGGGCTCCGTGTCGGCCGCCGCGGTCCAGGGGCGGCTCCGCGCTCGGCACCACGTGGCCGCCGTACAGGCTCACGGGGCGCTCCAGGAGGGCCGACTGCATCGTGGAGGACATCTGGCGGAAGCCGTACGGGGAGTGGAAGGCATCCCAGGAAAAGCCGGCTTTATAGAAGGTGGGAGTGCTCGCGGGGTTAGCGCCGTCTGGGATCTGCAGCCCTGGGATGGCCATCTCTGAGCATGCGAAGGAGAGGGAGAAATGAGTGTCTTGGTGTTGCCTGCAGGTGGGCACAAGTGCAAAGGCTCCCCAGCCACCTTATCCCTGTCTAATGTCCCGTTTGACCTTGGGAAGGAGTCAGTTACTCGGTGTTCTTTGATTCAAATCCCAAAGTTCCTACCATGACTTTTGATTTCAACCCAAAGAAAATTTAGGGGAGAGGGGATGCTAAGGGAATATTAACCCCCTATTAGTTTTACTTCATGTGGACACCTGCTTTCACCTGTTCACCATAGAGTATTGTGACTGTCGGTGTTGAAATAAGAACTGTCATTCACCAAAAATCCAGACTGAGCCATCAGGGCTGCATAGGCCAGTCTGATCCTGGCCTCTTTAGTGATTCTGGTCCTGGGTACCTGCAGCTGAAGAGCCTGGCAGCATCCTGCTCAGATACTGGGCAGGGACACTCTCTTCCTTCGCTTCGGAAGGGTCCCTTTCTTGCTTGGGAACCAGGCATCCTAGGTCCTGTTTCTTGATGTCTTCCGGTGTCTTGTCTCCTATGGCTGTAATCACAGTAATGTCATAGTTAGTTCATTCCATCTGATAAGAGAAGAGTCTATTAAGGTGGCTTGTGTGCACATGCCTGAACTCGTGCCTGGGTATATGTGTCTGCACAATTCCCTGAGTCAAAACCTCAGTAGATTCCTTATTTAGTCAAAGCAAATCAATCCAAGAGGCCACATGCCTGTAAGAAGCATTTCCCCATTTAATACAATTTTCCTTTATTAAGGTAACTAACAATCATTAACTCATTAACCTCCCCACTCCTCCCATCAGATAGTTCAAAGTTATTAAGCTGAATTTATGGACAGCCAAGCAGGGAAGCAGAGAAGGGAGATAACTGCTCACACAGTTGCAAGGGTGACAGCAGAGCCTGGTTGCCTCCTGCTCACACGCATGTTTCTCCCTGCCTGTCCCAGCCCTTAAACAGCCCCACGAGCTCTCATTACGAGTCAGCTTTATAGTATATTGTCTACAGGTATATGGTATATAGTATATGGTCTATAGGTCCAATGCATGAGCCTTCCTTCTGCTTGTGCATGGAGACGGAGCGGGGCTGCTGGGGGCAGGAGCCATCTGTCCAAACCTCTCGTGTTCCAGAGGGACATTGCAAGTGGCCAACAGACGATGGCAGGAATCAAAATTAGAATGTCATCTCCTTTCTTCCTTAATCAAAGTTACCATAGGCCTGGACTCCAGTTCCATAGTAAGGGCCAGAACAAAGGGTCAGTTGATCCTACATTTGAATAAAGCAAATTTGAATGGGGCCCAAAGGCAGATAAGTGCCCCAGCCTTCTGCTGCATGGTCAACTGGGCGCACACAAGTGGCCTTGGGCAGAAGGAGGCTGGGTTGTGTTAGCAGAGCACAAAGCAGAGGGCCCTGGTGTGCAAGGGGCTCCTTGCACGCTCAGTGTTAGGGTTGAAACCTTCCTTGCAGATCATCAGGGAGCAGCACACGGAGGCAGAGAGGAGGATGTCAGCCCGGAGAGCACACGGGCAGGGAGCAGAGCAAGTTAGACATGGGGGTGTCACAGCGAGGACACTGTAGGAGCCTGGCAGCCAAAGTGCAAGCGTTTTCCCACTGTTGGTTGCCTCAAGTTGGCCGTCTTTCCCAAATGTAGGTGAGCACAGAGACCTGTGTTAGAACCGAGAGGAGGTCGAGTGCTTGGCAGTCCTTCCCGGGAAGGAGGACACGCAGTGGGAGATCTGTTTGTCCTTAGATTGACATCCTGGTGTGGGAGCCCTTAGTTGCTCTCCAAGCCATTAATCCTGCTCTCTTAGCTTATCTATTGAATTATTTATTTGCTTGAGTGTATTCTTACGAGGAATGACTCACCAGTGAAGGGAGAGGTTCCCGCGTCCCGTGTGAAGATCGGCAGGTCGTCTTCCAGAGAGCGATGCTGGTGGTAGGTGTGAGCCTTTTTGCTCTTCACCAGAAAAGAACGTGGCATTTTCCATGCACTGCCTGGGCGGAAACACAGAATAGCTGCGGGTAAATCTCTGTGATCCATAGGGTAATTTCTCACTCGTTCCCCCACAGCAGCAGCTTCGCATTCAGCAATGATGAGAAATAAAACCCTTCTGCTGAGAAGGTAATTCATGTGAAAGGTCCCTCCAGCCAGTCAAGTGGCTGCTTGTGGATCTCAGCCTGGGGAAAACACAGAGCTGTGCAGGGGGCTAACAGGAAAAAATATTGCGAGATAGTCTTTGTGCTGAATATAGAGATGGGACTGCAGATCACTGTGTAGTCCATAAGAAAATTAAGCCTCAGAGTCTACCCCTAGGTTGAGGCAAAGCATTGGTGATATCTTTATAATATAAGAGGAGAAATGGACATGTTTCAGTTCAGTGGGATGCTACAGCCCCAGGCTTCTGTGGCAGAGACACTAGAACCCATCGTGTGTCTCTTGCTGTTCTTCACTCTGGCTACAGGACATGGTGCAGATCCAACACTGTCATCCATGAGAGAACAACACAACGGGGAGATTGGGGAGATCACCCGATCCCTGCTTTTAGAGGAGCCTTTCGTAGGGTTTGTACCCTACCTAGAGGATTACAACCCCAAGCCATGATGTAGGCTCTTTTGTGAAGTTGCTGCACAAATTACTATTATGAAAACAACCTAAATATCAGGAGAGATGCAGTGAAAAATCCCAGCAGCCTGAATATGTGGCGGGTTTCCTCCTTGTTGGGGACAGCTTGACTATTTTGTGTTCTGGCTGACAACCAGCAGAGCAGAGGCAAAGCAGAAGTGCTGGGTGAGAGAGGTTACCTTTTGGATCCGACTCAAATATCACAGACCGTTGAAGTGACGGGTAAGGAACAAACATAAAATGCTGAAATTTAATCACACAAAATTCTCTTGCAATGCCTCTCGTTATCTGTAGTGCCCAGAAGGGCGCCCGCCCGTGCCCGCTCCCCACGGCCGGTAACTGTCCCGGTGCAGACAGCAGCACGGCGGTGCCAGACGGGCCTTATTTGCATGCCCATTTGCATTTCCCTCTGTAATTGTTTGGGATAATGGCACTAAAAGCAAATTGAGCTATATTTCACATGAAAAGTCAACAGCAAGTCCTCTGCAGATGGGCAAGTCTCTTTACTTAGGCTTGTTTTTTGTAATAACAAGTACCGTATACTTGAGCCATTCCCAAGAAGAGCATAATTTGCACCCGTTAAACAGGAGTGATCTGAAAGGACAGAATGGGAATCCCAAACAGGGAGAGATGGAAAAGAGGATCTCAGCTACCTTCTTTTTAGGGTTCCAAAGCACCTGCACTTACACCTATAAACGAGATCTAGTTTCATAGCACAGTTCTGGTTTGTTTTAAGGTCCCAGGGCCAGATTTGCAGTGGGGCTGAGGCTGCAGACACGTGTAGAACCTGCTCACCAAAGCCTAGAGCAGACTCCCAAGCCCCCGTGTTTCAGTGGGGTGAGGTGCTCGCCCACCTCTGTGCTCTTAGAGACCCCATTAGACATTAGCTGCTGTTATTAACCCGGCCCAGGATTCCCACTGTTTAAGATACGACTTCAAGGATAAACCTTGGTGTCTCTAACTGTTTTTTCTCCTGAAATGCCTCACCTGTTTTCCTAAGTTATCTTCCAAGAAATTTGCCCAGGACTTGAGATGAATATGAGAAAACGGAGGCCAAGACCAGATTTGTTAAATTGCTGTTAGGACAGAGCAGTACTGGGCTGGGACCAGAAGTGTGAGCTTGCAAGAAGCAGCTCCGGATTACGCCGCTGGGTTTACCTTCCTGCAACTCCCTGATGAGGTTCCTTCTAAGCACTGCAAAGTGCATCTCTGCCTGGTGTAAATTAGAGGATAAATGAGAGGCCTGGGAGCTGCTGGCACGAGGCATCTTGCAGTGTTGATGGTAGTGCCCTAGCACTAAGAGCAGCCCCTATTTTCTAATGGCAGTTGCAAGTAGGTACACAAGAAGCAACGGGGTTTTTCTGGATGTCAGATTTGGTCCTGCCCGTCGATAAGGTCTGCGCTGGGCACAACGATCCCCAACGCGCTGCAGAGCGCTGCGAAAGGAAGTCACTTCCCCCACCCCATTTTATAGAGAAAACAGGAACTGGGAGCCCAGAGCGTAGTTAATTAACAACTGCATCGGGCTGCGTTTGTGATTCACACGACCAAGTTGGAGGAAAGCTAAAAGCACAGATTGTGCAAGAAAAATATTAACTCTCCATGAAACTCAGATTATCAGTAGCGAGCGATCAGCTGCTCCTAGCAGCTAACCAGAGGTCACAGAGAAAGCAGCGCTGCAGAAAAGAGACCTGCTACATCTGCACCAAAGCTCCCAAGATTTAGCTTCAACCTTTGCTACAGCTTTTTTTAATTACTATTTTTATTATTTATTATTATTTTTCTCCAGGGATCTCTCCTTTCCATGTGTGTTCATTGCGTGGGCAGACTGCCTGCCCCAAATGAACCAGCTTGGCATTTTGTGGATGCAACACAGAATCAAAAATCAGCATCCAGCTAGAACTGACCCCTGGGATCAATTCCCGGGGGATAAGAATAGCAGGATAACCAGCAGGAAAACAATGTTGAAGTAGTCGCCTCGAGAAAGCGCAGACGGCGCCAGCATCTTCCCTTGGCATCTTCCAGGTTCCTACGTGGCCAGTGATGCTCTCTGGAGTGAAGAGCTGTTGGACCATGGAAGGCAGTGCAAAAACCCCAAGGAAACGGGGTTTGCAGGTGACTTCTGATTTCAGGATCCTGATTTCATTCAATTCTGTGTTCCTGACAGAGCCCTGACTCCTGCTCTAGTGCATGGGAATTTGTAGTACCCCAAAAATACAGGATGAGACCCTTTTTCTTCAAAATGGTAACATCTTTTTAAATGTTCTTTAAATGATTCCTTCCGTTGTATTCCCCTGTATTCCCCTGCGTATGTGGGGACAGATATTTGCAGGATTGTGCCACGCTGTATTGGGAACCCAATTTGCAACATATGCTCCTTTCTAAAGCTGACCTTCGTTTTCCTCTAAGCCCTTCTAAGTTCAGATAACCCCATTTTCAAGTTTACAGGGTTAATTGTAAAGATAAAAACATTTTTTCCCCGCTACACTAACAGGAGATACTTAATCATTACAATTGATATATATGTTCATATGAGATCATCTATTAATAAAGTCTTAGGCTGATTTCCCTCAGCTTAATTTGTATTTTAATCTTAATATTTTATTTTTCTACTCTTTCTGTAAAAATAGCTACCAAAAATAAAGAATAGTTTGTCCTTCAGAGGACTATACTTTTGAAGAAAAGCAACATGAAACAAAACACAACCGATGCCTGGATTTTTCTTAAGAATCTGAGGAAAATAAGAGGTTTAATGGACTCCTGACTCTTTAAATATAAAGTCAAATTCAAAAAGAATTTACGTTCTTTCCAACAAAGTTGTCTTCACTAGTGCACACTTCCAGCACTCTGCCTACTCGGGGCAAGTGATTTGCACTTCTTTTAGTGGAAAAGTTAATATCTTTCATTCTTGTGGTAAAACTGGGCAAATGGATGTTATGCCAAGATTAACAAACTCTGGTGATAATTTTGTCCAAGAAGTGGAATAAAAATGCTTGTACATCTGTATTACATAGCAGGGGGGAAAAAAGGGTTAGAATACAATTATAGCCCTATTTAGGAAACTCATTTAACTCCTA